TTTTTTTTTTTTTTTTTTTTACCGTGTGTTGTCCCGGTATTTGAACGAGAGATTTTGTTGTATTGTGTCACGTTGTGTGTAAACGCGACACACGTTATCGTTAATACGTTTACGAAGCGAACCGCGCGACATGACATTTTGTCGTGAATGCAATTTGTTGCGGATTACATCGAGTGAGAGTGTCGATTCTAAAATTTATACACGATACTTATCTCCGACACGAAGAAAAAAAAACAAACAAACTGAGTTATACTTGTGAAAGAGAGGAGATCTCCCTCCGATGAGGAGAAATGAATTTAGAAAGATTTATTGCTAAAACAACAGCACCGTTTCCACACGGGCTTTCTATTTGAATTTGGCCGAAACTTGTTTGCTTCTCTACGGACGCGCGATATATTTGAACAAAAAAAAAAAAAGAAAGAAAACAAATCGAAAGAAAGAATTAAGATTCTTTTATTGACTTGATATTGCGCGATTTGCGCGTCGTCGGGCACTTTTGTGTCCCGGGAGAGAGGACTCTGTGCGACTCTCTCTCTGCAGATCTCTCTCTGATGTAATTTTATTATTCACAAGTATAATAACAGCGTTTGAAGTAGGAAGCACGAAAAAAAGTTTCCCCCTTTTCCGTGGACGGGAAAACGAACTAGGACGACGCGATGGAAAGTGCGAGAGGACGCGCGCGCGAAATAAATCGAAGGCGCCTTTGACGAAGGCTACCCTTGACGGATGTTTTTCGCGTGTAACAAATATCGCGGATTGAAAATCTGAAACGAACGAAAATTCGCAAATCTCGCATGTTTTAATTGTAAATGAACACACACGTACACACATTTTGTAAATACACGTTTTAAATGTAAGTGACGGCGTTTTGCGGCGTGTTTTGAAACGGGAAACAGAAAGTGCGTGTCGCGTCGACAACGAATTTCTCTAAATCGAGCGATGACGTTTATAACACACGTAAAAAACTGATCTAGAGAAGATGAGAGAGAGAGAGAGAGTGAGAGAGAGAAAGAAAGAAAGAAAGAAAGAGAAAAAGAGAAAGAGTTGAGCATTATCGAAGTATTATAATATAACAATTATACAGAAGAAAAAAAAACAAAATATAGAATTGACGATAGTGAGTAGCGCGTGTCGTGATGAGAAAAAAAAATCCAGTTCTAGAGATTATAAAGTTTTGTAAATAATAAGAGAGATTAATAAAAAATGATACTTATTCAAACACCAACGGACATATCGTCTCGTATATATTTTGTTTCCTTCCTCCCTTATGTGATTTCACTTTGAAATAAATAAACAAATAAATAAATACACGTGGAAGAGAGGGAGAATGCATTTTTTTTCTTTCTAGGATATTGAAAAAAAAAAAAAAAAAAAAAAAAACGTGTAATTGAATGTTGGGTGAAAACGGCGAAACCGCGCACGAAATAGATGCTCCTCGTCTCTGCGGAGATTTTTGCCCGCTATACCTGGAACACACATACGTGTAAGCCTTTCGTCGATACCGTTGAAAATCAATAGTCCGACATGGAAGTTCGTAACAGTAAGTACTGTCTGGTGCGAGAGCACAGCGAGCGCATAAATAGATAGATATTCCAAACGGTTTTATTTGCTCTTTACTTACACTTTCTTCATACTTTGTGTCGCCCGTTTTAACTGATAGAATTAATATTTGAATATTTATTTATTTATCACAACCTGTGCGCGCGCGCGCGCGCGCGTTTGAACAAATACTAATCGCTAATTATCTGTTGCTTAAGGAAACTAGGATATAAAAGTATAAACATCCTTTGAGAAACACGGGCTCAAAAGTACAAGTGAATTTTTATTGTTGCGGCGGTAGTGAGTAATTTGTTTAAATCATTTTTGCTAAGATCTTTTTATCGCATCGTTAAATGTGGGGACCTCATAGCTTTCTCACCTGGACGAGGAGGCGCTCATTCAACAATGAAAATTTGAGCCCCCGGCTTTTTTGCGCTAAGAATGTTTCATTACATCTCTCGCGATTTTTGATCGTTCCGCCTTGACGACGCTTCTCCGTCGACGGCCAGAATAGACTCCATGGTAACACCCCTGCGCCGAGGGGTAAGCTCCACGAACGGTGCCTGATGAGGGCACGACGCCGCTGACTGGCCCCCGGTAAGGTCTCTAACCCTCTTAGAGCACGGCGTGTACGTACAATTATTAAGGTAAGCCGATCCTCACCGACGGACGATGTTCGACGAAGGTTCGTAACAGGTAACGCGGTTGCGTAACGCGACGAGACGGATTCAGCCGGTCGTTATTGGATATTTTTCGAGAGGAAGAGAGAGAGAGAGGAAGGGGGCACACGATTTAACTCTCCCGGGGCTAAGCGCGGGAGTTGGCGATTTATTAAATGTACCGTGACTAATTGCTCCGACGCGCGGCCGTAGCGACGCGACGAAAATACACACACGCGAGAGAAACGCGCTCTCGGAAATTATATACACATACGCGCGCTGAAATCCGCGCCAGTTCGGAACGCAAATTATCAGGTCAAGAGGTGAAAAAAACGGAAAGCCGAGCGCTTGAGCGCGCGAATCATTGTTGCGCGATATAATTAGCAACTAGCGCACGTAATATTATCCTTAGTAGGATAAAGAGAGAGAGAGAGAGAGATTCTTTATTTGTATCTCAGTTTCGCGCGAAAATTGATCCAAAAACAAAACGCGCGCGTTGTTCGTTTTGAAATAGGAAGTTTGACAACATTTTAGCCGAGAGCTCGCGATTGAACTTTCGAACCGGAATCCGATCTGCTTTTAATTGAGAATTCGATTCACGCCC